CAGTAAACAAAATATTTTATGAGCATATGGATACTTTTAAGGCTACTCTGAACAAAAGAAACGAAGAAATCATCAAAAAATCGTTCTTAAATTCATAAAGATTAATTCTAGACGAAAATAGGCTAAGTGAGTGCCTGTAAAATAGGTCCTTTAAGGGACTCGACTAAGGTTTTTGACAATACGAGACAGAATTTTTTTCCGATATTTGTGTAACTACTTGTGTGCAACTTTAAAAGTATTTCCCTTACCTATTTTTTCCGATATAACAATTTAGCGTTTGGAAAATGAATAGCGTCCAAATGAACAACGACTAAAACAAGTATTCAAGATATAATATCTTTGCATCTTAACACAACTTCTTTCGTACGAACAACAATTAATAATTAGCCGTTATCTCTTGCATTGAATAAAAGAATTTTTAAAATCTGTTTTTTATCTCTGTGTGTGTGTGTGTGCGATGGTGTGTGTGTGTGCGTTGGTGCGTGCGTGCGTGCGTGCGTGCGTGTGTGTGTGTGTGTCTGTTTTTCATTCAAAGCATCCGCCAAATACTATATAAAATGCAACATGAAAGCTATCATTAAATATGCTACTTTATAATATATAGTTATATCATTAATGATATTTATTCATTTGCAATGCAGCTGTGTTTGAAATAGATGCAAGATTAAGCTTAACACATCGGGACCAATTTTAAATTTCTTGCTTTGTCTCAAACCATATTTATTTACATTTTCGTCAAATAGAAAGACAAAGTTTTCTAATCTCTGTATAGACCTTTTTACAAAAACGATTTTCCATAGCAACGAATGTTGCATTTCGCACATGTGCATTCTGCGAAGGGCAAAAAGCTATAACAATGTTTACAGTTTATCATACTTTAAGGCTTTCATAGATGCTATTTCATGTTATGTCACCAAAAATATTTTTTTGGGATGACTTAAGGCGGTAAGCACTGAAAACGTGAATTTATCTTTTTTAAAGGATCTACGAAAATGTGCGGGAGTAATAATTCAATGGAGAAAATGGGCACACACAAGTCTTTGTTTAAGGTATCATTAGACTACTTTTGAGACAGCAGGGTGTTAAAGATAAAATTTTATTACCCCTGTATTACATAATATAACATAATTTGTATTGTACACTGCCTTTGAATAACTGGAATGGTCAGGCGGCAAGTGTCAAACAGATTGGCACGCAAACGTTTGTTCATTCAACCGGGACATTTAAATATCATGATATAGTTAATCAGTTACGCTTATTAAAATGGTAATTTATGTAACTTTTAAATATACCGATCAATGTTTATGGTTTTTGAGAAGAGAAAAATTGTGTGACGTACATTATTGAAAATAACATGTATTACGAAGAAGCGGATAAAATGCGTGTTATATCTTTTCCAAACAACCCATCTTAACTTCTCAATATTTTGAGGGGAAAAAATAATTATCTAAAATCTATTTATGTGACTAAATTTTTCTGCTACACCTCAGGCAAATCGGATAAAGGATATAATCAGGTATATTGAACACTAAAAATGCATTATCATCTGTTATGATATTTTTTCTGAATGAAAATTAATCTCGATTTCATGTTATATAATTTCTTTTGTTTTTAAATGAACTATTTTAACAGCAAATAACTTATAAATATATTTCCACATCTTCTTTAAAAAATGATTTCAGTGTCAGGTCCGTGATCGTAAAAAAAGATCTTTTCCATTCCTTTTATGGCATTCTTTGCCACAAAGCTATAAATTCATCTTTTCTATATTTGTTGAAAGCTATTTTATATATTTTTTACCGTTTACCTTGAACTAACTCGGAATTGTCTATGAACTTCTACTATATTTCTATGTAGGGCGAAGCAATTTTGCCTTTCGTACATTGCGCATATGTGAGAAAATTCTAAATCCGGCCGATTTTTCATAGCAACGGACCGCGTTGTAAAAAGGTCTATACAATAATGAACTGTCTGATTTCATGTATTGAATGTAGTTTATCGAGACTTTGTATCATGACTTCGTAAAACACGTTATTTCCGTCTTAAGTGACACTGTTTTGCATAGACAAAACGGTTGGGTGTACTGCTGTTTTATTGCAATGTCATAAAATAGTTTTTTTTTTCTAATATCCATCTATATACATTTAGAAACTAGAAAACAAGTTTGTTTTGAAGAAATTCAAATATATTTTAAAGTTTGAGATGATTTGTCATTTGACTGTGTGGATATAGTTCTGGCTTCCAAAAGTTTAATGATCGCTTTCTTAAGTTTTCTTGGTAAGGCATTAAAGGCATCAAACCCTTTTCCAAATCAATCCAAAATAAAGTCATATGTGTGACCTCGCTACACAACACCAATAAAAATCATATGTAATAACGGATAAAGGGAAAACACATTAATACATACTTTTACAAGTATTGAAATATAGCTGACTACTTTGCCTTTTCTCTGCGAAACAGCAGTACACCGACACAACACTTTGAAACCTTTCGTGATTCAACATATAATCTGTTTGGTTTTATACTCGTGTTTCTTCTTTATGAAATTGAACAATGAACTCACTTAAAATTCAGTTTTTCTAAATAATCTTTTATTTGAAATAAATACTGGATACAAAATCATATGGTGTAATTCTCAACTGCCTGCGCTTATTGACAAATAATTAAAGATCGATCAATCTCGTGAAGACGTAGTAAATCATTTTGTCAAGATGGCGGCTGCGTGCTTAACATTCAGAAATGTCTGAAACCTTAAGGATTAACTTTATCCTCAAACTTAGGTCTTTTTGGTTGATTTTTTTTTTTGAATATCTATAGATCGTTTAATCGGGATATACGTAACTAATGTCAAACGCATTATGATAAATCAATGCAAGTGTGACAGCACTGTCTTTATATATTCAATCAAATCCGATGGATTTATATCCCCCGCCGAGTACTGGCTATTACTAACACGACAGCTGGAGACATAAGGCTTAATTTAGAAATTTATCATGGCATGCACATTTCCTTTGCGTATCGATGATTCCCATAAACATTAGTTGAAATCAATCCAGCAGTTGCAAAGAAATAGCAATATTGCTTTATATGAATACTGCAAAACCATTCAAGAATAACCCTGTCTTGAAGAATTGGACCGGAACAATACGACGGAATGCGCATCTCTAATTGGTATTGACGGTTTCCCTAAAGATTCTTTGGATTCATCAAAGTAGTTGCAGAGAAATAAAAGGGAAACGATCATTGCTCTATATGCATACTGCACAACTAATCATGAAACTTAACTCTGTCTTGAAGGATCTGACAAGAACAAGGCGACAAAAACCGCATTTCCAATTGGCATTGATGGTTTCGATAAGGTTAAGTTGAATTCCAGCCAATAGTTGAATATAAAAAGCGCGGAAACGATTATTGTATTATATGCATACTTCATAACTAATCATGGGCAATAGCACTGTCTTGAAGTGTCTGACGATTTAGCCGACGATATGCGCATCTCTTTTTTTGTATTGATGGTTCCCATAAAGGTTTCATTGAATTAAATCCAGTACTTGCATAGAAATAGCGAAGAAAAAATTATTGCATTTAAAGCATACTGCATAACTAGTCAATGACCATAACTCTGTCTTGAAGGATCTGACCCCAAGCAAGGCGACGATATGCGCATTTCTTAATGCTATTGATGGTTTACATAAAGCTTCATTAAATTCCAGCCAGTAGTTACAGAGAAATAGCGCGGAAACTATTATTGCTCTTTATTCATACTGCAAAACCTATCAAGGGCCTTAACTCTGTCTTGAAGGGTCTGGCCCAAGCAATGCGACGATATGCGCATTTCCTGTTGATATTAATGGTTGCTTATAGAGACAGCATTTCATCTATCTGTTGATTCAAACCACTCGTTAATACTGCGCTTGATTTTGGTGATTAATTTTAGTGTTAGAATTTATCCATAAATCTCATTAAAACCTGATTGATACTACAGATAACAACCGGGCCAGTTTTCATTAAGATAACATTATGCACATTTTTTCGTCGTGAAGAATTATGAGATGAACTATATATTTTAAAAGATTATAATGATCATTAATCAATTATTGAAAGCAAACAATGTTTGAGATAAAATATAAAAACTGCCTCAATTACAAAAATGTATGACTGTCCCATTTTTTTATTGAAATTTACCGGTATATTAGTACCATTACAGTAGAGTAGCATGTAAATTCAGTGTTTCATACTAAATCCTTTTGACTTTGATCTTCTGGTATACATCCATCCCTTGAAGAATGTAGTTAAATGAAACAGTACAAGAATATTATCCATTACATCTATCGTATAAAAAAGCTAAGTGCATCTTTTAAATTTATTATTTGTTCCAGATGGTCTTATTAAATCACGGTTGCTTGGAACACTTTAAAACTTCTGCGATTTGTAAAAATATAATCGCGTGTTTCTTTTTGTATGTCCAACTAAAAAGTACATAGATAAATCATATATAACAAAGGCATATAAATTACATCTTATTGCTTCTGAAGGAATGAAGAATGAAGCAATATATCTGATGTATAAATTGTTGGATAAATTAACTGCATTTCTACAATGATCAAATAAACACTTGAGATATAAAGAATAGTTTAAAATCCAAGACATAACATATTTAAAAATACCCGACGTATATTTACTATGTATTGAAAGGTCCTTTAGCATGGATTGATGGTTTTACTTTTTTATTTTTGCACTCTAAAATGGGCCATTCTTTATGACGATGATATTCTTCTCTTGTTAAAGCAGGTGCAAATATATGTTTTGTAGAATCCCATTTCAATATTCATTCTTTACCAAGTTTATTTTTATATATGTATTTTATTATTATTAGTATTATTATCATTTATTATTATAATTATTATTATTATTATTATTATGTAAGATTTAAAGAAAATGCAAGATTCTAATGATATTTTTCCCTCCGAACTGTCACAGCATCAACTGGAATAGCGTATATACGAGATTTTTCTTTCTGTGAAAATGCAGTTTTGTAACACAAAGGTCTATGTTTTAGTATATGATCTTCTTAACTCGCCGTAAGTAAAATTCACGGATAAAAAACCAATTTTGCCCTCAAATTATGTTTGCACCAATAATTAATCTTCTATCTTATCATGAGTGACAGTATTACGTAAAGTATAAAAAGCATAAAGATATTGTTTCAGTGCTTAAATTCATGAAATCGCTGTTTCCGGCTGATAAAATTTCATTTAACACAAAAACATTCAACATGAGGATCCAATATTTCGCTCTGTGTTGTTTGGTTTTAGCTTTACAGTCTCCATTGGCGGGTATGTTGTTTTAAATTTGCGTTTAGAATTAATATGCTAAACTCGCTTTACATTAATATATTTACCAGATCTTAACATGTTCTTTACCGGAAAGGTGTTTTTTTTAAATCTAAGAGATAATATTTTAAATGAATGATTTTAACAACTACTTTATTATTTGATGATGTCTTGTTGTGCGCTGAATGATGCCGGTTGTAGATATAATAAATAAATATAATTGATGTTATGAAATTAGGAATATAAAAGAATACTTTAAACAAAGACTCAGTAGTATCCAATGAGTTTCTGAATACTTTTAAAGATTTTGTAAACAAAAGAAAAGAAGACTTCTCTTAGATTCATAAAATATTATTATGGACGATGAATGGCTGAGGAAACATTTAGGAATTTGTGCCTGTAAAATTGCATTACGTTCTTTAAGGAACTCGACTTAGGTCTTTTGACATTACGGAGCTGGATTTTTTTCTCTGATATTTGTGTTACATTTGATTTAGTTCTGAAACAATAACTTGTGTGCAACTTTCCACATCATTCCCTGATCCCGTTTTATCTTAGGGGGTCAGGAGGGAGTGGGGGGGGTGTTGTTTCTTAAATCATTTTGAATTAAACACATGATTTACTCCAAATGACACGATTTATTTTGTGAGTCCTCAATAAAAATGCAAGTATATAAATCATTCACATATACATAAGTTAAAATTTCTTGCTTTGTTGCAAACTATTTTTTAAATTTTACATTTTCGCCAAATAGATAGACAATGTCTTCTAATTTGTATACAATATAGATTGTACAACTGTATAATTTCGTGTTTTGAGGGTAGTTTATCGAGACTTTGTATCATGGTTACAATTAAATCCAGCGTAAAACACGTTATCTCTGTCACAAGGGACAGTGTTTTGCAATAGACAAAACAAATATTGCATTTTCATAAAATAGCTTGTTTTTTTCCCCTTCTTATCCATTTAACTAGACAACAAGTTCGGTTTTAAAAAATTCTTTTGAGATTATTGAGATAGTGTTCTACGGACGTTGTCTTTAATAGCCGCTTTTTACGTTTGTTGAAAAAGAATTAAAGACATCAAACCCATTACCAAATCTATCCACAAGAACTCGTATAACCTCGCTTTACTGCACCAATAAATAAATCATGTGTATTAATGGATAGAGGGAAAAACATTGTTACATAGCATTGAAAAGTTTGAAAAATAATATACCTAACATCTTTGCCTTTCTCTCTGCAATACAGCAGTACAACGCCACAACACTTCGAAACATTGTGTGATTTAACATGTTATCTGTTTGGTTCTATAATCGTGAATGAAGATAGAAAATAAAATAAATAAACTTACTCATATGATAGTTTTTAAAGAAATTATGATTTATTTAAGATTACTTTCGGATAAAAAAAACACATGGTGTAATTCTCAACCGTTGTCCCAAAGAACGCGAATATGTTAATATGTTTATTTTGTTTTGATCCGTCGGCTTGGCACTGAATCATTGTAACCGCTGGGTTTGGCACCTGTTGACATCATTTTCACTTATTTTATGACTTTTACCTGCAGTGTATCCGGTACAAAAAGAAATGTTATATTTTTTTTTTAGATCGCTTTAAATTGAGAGGAGAAATTCAAGTTATTATGTTAGAATTTGAATAAGTAAAAGTTTTCGTGCGCCTTGAATGAATGAATGAATTCTGTTCTTAAAATGACATTTTGCCGTTATAAAGTTGTAAAAAAAATACAATACTATGCATATGTTAATGTGCATCCGTGCTGTTCTTATGAAAAAATATACTTCGGCGGAAGCGATAGCGACAGAGAGTCCGGTCTGTCGCAGAAACGGTGTAATATCCTTATGATATACAGAGATAGAAATCCGTATAAATTAAATTTATAGAATTATATATAAATTATGCCGCAACTACGATTTTCATGAAATATAAAAAAATAAGTTGTTTTGAAGACATTAAAAATACGAATTATTAATTTATTTTGAAAAGTATAATGGTCAATTTTTACTCATTGCTTTTTATAAAACCACTGTAAACTTTAAAATTTTATAGACTTAATTCACGTCTTACATCTATTAAGTGTTTTACAGTTTGTTCATATTGTCTTCGTCGAAATGCAGAATGAGCAAGAAACCCTAATAGAAAAAGCATAATGTTGTTATACTGAAAATAAGTCATCTTAATGAAATTCCTTTTAATATCAGGACTGTTCCTGTAGAAAAATCTAAATCAAAGATCATTCCTATGATGCGCATTTTTTATGAAACATTAATGTATACGTAAAATCTTTATATTTATTTCTATATTCCAGAGTCTGCTATTACGTCCTGGACAACACCTAATATATCAGGTGACAGTGGACCTGGGACACTTTCTATCCCAGAATCTCAAACTTTAACAACAACAATAGAAACGTACGTTGCTTTAACCGATGCGACCACGGTCACGTATGCTTTAAACCCAGCAGTTGCTCCATTTGCATTATCTACGACTGGTGTATTAACGATAACTGCTAATCTTGATGCCGATAAAACACCTACATACACACTTAATATCGTGTAAGTTGAGTATCTTTATATATAAGTACACTTTAGAAGCTTTAATTACATTTAAGAGCAAACTTTGTCTTTTCAAAAGCAAATCTTTATCAAATTTTTAACAAAATTATATTTTTGGGAAGTTAAATCAAAGTGAATTATTCAAATAGTTGAAACCAATATGGTATTCATTTTTGAATGATGCAATGGTTTGCATTCAAACTATCTAGACTTGCATTGATTTTCTTGTACTTCAAATTCATGCAAATATACAAGGTTTTATATTCCAAAAGTTTATTATAATACAAATGGTATATTAAGCTCTTATTTTTTGCTTCGTTTAGATTCTTCACGAATTTATTTCCTTTTGAAAAACAGTTTCTCGCGGCTTAAAAATGCACGCTACCGGCCACCATACATAAGAAAATGCACGCTACCGGCCACCATACATAAGAAAATGCACGCTACCGGCCACCATACATCAGAAAATGCACGCTACCGGCCACCATACATAAGTCATATTTTGTAAATATATAGCCCATGGTAATTTGTCAGAAGATAGATTTTGAGTTTTTAATATGTGATATGCACATTGAATTATCAATTACAGAGCAACGGACAACACTGCAAACACTCCTGCTTCAGGAACTGCCACTATCACTGTCACAGTGACTAAGGGAACAAAACCATCTTTCGGATCGCAAAAGTATGAGCAGTGTATTGCAGATGGTTCAGTTATAGGTAAAAACGGAAAAAATAGTTTCAAGTTTTTAATATTTACATGTACAACTATAAAAATATATATTGCAGACCAATCATGCATGCATTATCCTTTCGTGATACTAGACATATCAAAACTAACAACAGCAGTAACATTTTACAAGAGCCTATGTCTAAAACATTTTAGAGGTTATACCTTCATTAATTTCAATTTCAATGTGCTATGAATATAGTAATCCATTATGTATAAATATGAAACTAAACTATGTTTTTGTATCGGTTTACAGACACAACTCTGGTAACTGTCCTGGCAACAGATTCAGACAAGAGTCAGACTGTCACGCATAGCATAGCATGTAAGTACCACGTCTGAAGTGTTTGAGGAATCAATACTCTAACATTTTGTCTTATAATATAAAACAATTTCCTAACTGATAAGTTTTGTGACCATAAAAAGAGCAAATATTACTAAATGATATTTAATTAACATAAACACATAATAAAATAGATTTATTAAAAGCGAAACAGCTAACAATTTACATTGTCAATTTTAAGCAATTTTACAATTCAAAGAATTTATTATTTTGAAGTTGATTCACATTGGTGTTTCAGTAAGATTATGAAGATTTTGACGCAGAATATGCTCACAAAATATGAATAATAATCACTTTAAATGTTCCAATATATATTGCTGAGGCAATTCTTTGAAATAAATACGCTTCAGTTTATACTTAGTACAGGTATATCTTTTCACAACTTTTTCTTTTGACATAAAGACTTCTGTTGCTTTAATTGTAGCTGGAAACATAAACACTGATTTCAAAATTGGTGCAACTACTGGAGTTATACAGGTTGCAAAGGCTCTTTCAATGACAAGGACTGCAAGCTACACATTGGTCATCAATGCAGTTGTCAATGGACAAACTGCAAAGACAGGATCAACGACCGTAGCCGTTACAGTATCTGCCGAATGTAATAAAAACAACTCAGCCATCAACGGCGCCAGTATTGCTTCCCTACTGTTAAGCATACTGACACTGTTGATGATTTAATTTAGACGTCTGCGTTATTACAAAGAAACAATTACAGTGCGTGATTCGAACTCTTTTAACTTATTTAACAACATTAAATATGTTGTTATTTTCATTGTTTTTGGAATGATTCAGTAATGAGATGCATTTGTATCGATAAGCGAATCATTTCAAGTAGGATTGTTGCTCCTGGTTGTTATATATAACTATACACTGTCTCAACTTGCTTTTCTGTACTCTTGTGAATCTTTTTAATAAACTTAATTTCTTTATTTTACATCTATATCATCTGCCTTTACTTAGATGGTAAAAAATTTTATGTTCGACACAAGCTGTTTATTATCCAATTGTTACAATAAATGTCGATAAAATATACTGGCCGCACCGTCAATACCAAACAATACTAATCAGTAAAGTCCACATGTGGTATTCTAAATCTGTTTTCCTTGTCAAAACATCTCGCAAGATGATCTACATGATGATTAATTACACAGTGGTCGTCTCAATTGATGCTCCCGTATCTCGAAGAGTAATAGATGTATCTTCTCTTTGAAACAAAACAATTAGAATATTTTAATCATCGGCGTGGTCGAGTGAATAACGCATCGGAATAGTAATGTAAGGATTTCTGACCGTTTAGGGTTCGAACCCCGTCGTGGACAAGCCGTTGTTTCCGTGTGCAAAAACTTTACACTCATTGCTTAGCATTGGTTGGTTCCGGAAACGGATTCGAAAGTGTTTCAAAAAGTTTAAAGCTTCCAAACCACTCTAACTAAAATAAATTAGTATGATAATATCCTAATAGTGTTATCATGCTTTACGTCACAAAAATCTGATTCAACTAGATTTATTACCCTCTGTTGCCATATTACCTTATTTTGCAGGTCATGATATCAAATTATCAAAAAGTTACATGTATTTCCATTCATTTTGTTCTTCAATTGTAACAAAAATATGAAAATTAATGTATATTTTACAGCAAAATAAGTTGTAAAACTTGCAAAAAACATGCAGTTAAATGTGGTTTTCACATCAATTTCTATATAAAACATTATTCTATATTCTCCAATCATTTAATATTTTCTTAAAGTGACATTATGCTCATTTTTTCATTGTGAAGTTAAGCTGAATTGACTATATATTTCAAAAGAATGACTGTTACAATGGTGAATGACTAATAGTTAATATTCAAAAGAATGCCTTTAATATAAACTGACTGTCCCACTCTTTTTATTAATATATCGTTAAAGGTTTATTTCAATGGCCACGTGAGTTTCATACGAAGAAAATTATATAAATAAAAGGAATTATGGCAAAATGTAAAGTTGACTCTCTCACTCAATGTATACCCTTGGATGGACATAGTGCCTCTTTAAGGACCCACGCGCTATGAAACACACTTTATGGTGCATTTAATACTAGGGAAAAAACAGTTTACGAAAAGTAAAATATTCACAAACCAGGGAATTTATGTTTTATGCAAAGTGTGACAGACTACTTTTTATCATAACCCGAATTAAAATGACTGAATTTAGTAGTTCGTAGACTTAATAGATAAACACCATTTCATTAAAGTGACATTTTGCTCATCAAAGAGTAAATGGTGAGTATTCATTTAAAATTAAATAGCTTTACAATTTGTCATGTTTGTTTCCAATTTCATAACAAACGTCACCTGAATAATCAATAACCCACGTGATCCACATTAATATATTCTTCAAAAAATATCCGTAATGTTCAATTTATAAAAGAGTAAAATTCTTGTCCAATCGTTACTAAAATAGTCAACCTTTTGAAATACAGAACTAATTAATTCCAAATTAACAGTGCAAAATACCATGGAGGCTATTCGTTGCCAAAAATCCAGCCTTTGAAACTTGCCAATGCATACTCCGGTTCTACTAAACAGATTAGTAAAAATCTAATTGTTGATCCAAAAGTTACATACTGCACCGGTATTTAGCGTTTTGATTATCTCGATTTGATAAAATGGAAGCTGTTTACATGCAACTTAAAGGCACACGCTTTCTATTACTTGGGGACCATACGCCGCTTTTCATGGAATGGCACGGGAGTGTCACGTTGAAGGTTCCATGATAACCGCCGTATGAACACATCTGCGGATGTTTCTAAATTCAAAATTTCACCATCTCATGTTTAAATGTTGAATTCTGCTTAAGCCGGTGCTAGGGGGCGTGGACGGTAACTTGCACTTTCCAGTACCGTCCATGAACAGGCTCAATCAAACCGAGCCTGCAACATTTTCAATTCTGTTGTGTTGGACTTTCTTTAGGGATTCTTATTTTCTCTATTTTACATAAATTGCAAACTGTATTTAGGAATGTATAACTTCAAATTTTTGACATGACTTCGTATAAATGTACACGATACAACGTACAAAACACGGTTTATGCCGTACATTATGACGTTGAGAATGTAAATGCATCAGTTAACACTCTCAGGTTGACATCATTCTACATCATTTTACATTCTAACGCAATTAACATTTGTAAACGATTTCGCAACTTCCATATATGGCATTATCACGGAAATAGACGAAGACTAAAAGGCGGAGCCAATTTTCACAAGAGCAGAATATAAAGAGAGGCAACTCTTACTGTACTGTACAGTTATAATGAGTACAAAAATATTTCACATTAAATAAAACTCTTATATATGTCACATACATCAACTGCATTACAGTTGACTTTTAATATCCTCTGATTTTGTTAAAACGCATTCTAGCACAGGATATTCTAGTAATGCAAATTTTATTAATATATAATAAAATGTAACAAAAGTGATAGAACGTCATAATACTGATAATGAGCATAATAAAATGTAAAAACTAAAGTTGGTGAATAAACATAAGGGAATGTTTCCCATATATAAGGACACAAACCACGCTGGCCGGTGAGCTAACTTCTCAGCAGAAATTATTCGTACTCGTGTAACACACATCTCTTTGTACCATCAATGGGATATATTTTGATTCATAGGATGTGATTTAGCCTTTTATTATAAAAGAATATGTAAGCTGGCGTAGGCTAAAGGTCTTCAGCGAAGCCCCTTTTACGCATTTTACTAAATCAATTACAGCTCTTAAATCTTAAAAGCTGATACCTAAACTTGTGTTCTTTCTGATCAAAAGCAGAGAACTATTTTTATGTACAAGAAATACTTGTATTTTTGTACTCATTATAACAGAATATGTATTAAGTTTTGTTAGTGATGGCTTTCTTAGTGATTAAATAAACAAGGTATACATAAATTGATAGTTAAGGTCTAGTCATCTCAAGTACCACCAGAGATGATCGGTTGAGCTGTCGTGACTAACTCTGGAGGGTGCCGTTTTTGTTATCGTTTTTCGGAGAGCTGATCCCTTGGCAGTATTGTCGACTCCTGCACAACCATCGTAGAAGAATAGGCTTCAGGAAGATTAGGCATGAAAAGACGTCCCCGATGCGACTACAACAGTGGACCGGCAAAAAGGCTATTATCTCGGACACATGGTTATTCCGGCGCCAAACAAACAAACTCAAATACACACACAAGGGGAACTGTTTCACGCGGAACAAAACGCATTAATGTTGCATTGGATTGTAATAAATCATCTGATTTTTTTAAATCTATCCGTTCCTTTACTTTTTGAAACTAGGAAATAAGTTTATTTTGAAGAAATTTAAATGTATATAAGTTTTGTATTTTTTCTTTTGAAAATGATTTGGATACTAGTGCTGTGTGGCTTCAAAAACTTTAATAGCCGCCTTTATATAGAAAAGCGATGTCACACATTTGTGAATTTTAATTTTTGTGTTTTAGGTCCATGTTCTTCATATCTCACCTGATTATTAAGGCTCTTAATAAATATTGTTAGCTATGAATGAAAAGCAGACAAATTTCCAGCATATTTTGGCTGATAATATTACATTTATGGCATTTACAAGTTTTTTTTAATATTTGGGTTCCGTGGCCAAGTTTTTGACCCCGGATCATCCGTTTTTTAACTTGAGCTAGAAATTATCAAATTAACTTTTTTGACAAATTTTTAGGATATTTAAGCTGAAAATGTTAACTCTAGAGTGTCAACAAGGTGTTTCTATATTTCGTCTGTGATACAAAGTTTTTGACCCAAGATGACCTAAATTCAAAAATTAAGCTAGAAATCATCTTAATAATCATAATAAACATCTGGTAAAGAATTTGCTACGACTAAATACTAAAATACCAGATCTAATTCTGGCTGTTGTCTTTCCTAGTAGTAGCATTTACTATTATATTAGTAACCTTAATACTAGCTTATGACTTGACAAGAAAACGCTTTTAACGATATTAAAATTAAAACCAAAGTTGTATGTTTCCTTTCGTACATTTCTTTTTATTTTTAAGTATAGATATATTTTCGCATTTTTACCATATTTTTTTTCTAGATGACTAGACCTTAACTATCGACCGATATCAATTTTGTCAACTATATCCAAAATATTTGAGCGCCATATTGCCAAACAAATACACTCATTCTTTGAAAAAACGAACATTATTCATAATAAACAATCAGGATTTCGTAAAAATCATTCATGTAATACTGCACTCATAAGTTTAATAGATACTTGGTTAAAAGATGTTGACAGTGGAAAAATTATAGGGACTGTATTTTTAGACTTAAAGAAAGCCTTTGATTTGGTTGACCATGAAATACTTTTGCATAAACTTAAACTTTATCATTTTTCTGAAATGCCGTTAAGTTTTTTTATGTCATATCTTTCTAATAGAATACAACTGGTAACGAAAAGTAATTTTCAATCTCAGACAATGAAAATAATTTCCGGTGTTCACAAGGTTCAATATTTCGTCTCTATTGTTTCTAATATACATAAATAACATGGCTTTCATTGGTGATGATATAAATTATTATACGCAGACGATTCCACTCTTTATTAGTCCGGAGAAAATAAATCAAAAGTAGAAATAAAACTTCAAGATCATTTAAATAACATTGACAAATGGTGCAAAATAAATAATATGGCCTTAAATCCAGATAAATCAAAATGTATGGTAATAGGAACAAGACAAAAAGTAAATATTATGAGAAAATTAATTCTTAAGATAAATGAAATAGCTCTTAAAAATGTAACTGATCAAAAAGTCTTGGGTATTTGCATAGATAACAACTTAAAATGGCACTTGCAAATTGACAATGTTTTGTAAAAAAACTTAACGGAAAAATTGCCTTATTTGAAAAAATATCGTATTTTTTGCACTTTGATATGAAATTTT